CTTTTTGGAGCCCAGCAGCACGAGGCTCCGAATGGATAGTTTGGAGGAGGAAGAAAGCACCCATAATGCCAGCTCTTCAGGAAAAGTTTGCTTTATGGCTGTATCGGAGCCAGCTTGCCCATCCCTTGGGCGAGTTATTTCTCTGAATGAGAAGATTTACTAGGCAAAGGTCTGGGTGCAGCATGGGATCATAGGAAAGTTGGGATCTCAGGAGCTCACATCTAGCCCAGCCCCCTGTTCAAGGCTCCTAAACCATCCTGCCACGCCGCTATCCATCCTGCTTTGAAAGTTTCCCAGCCTAGAAATGTCCCGGCTTCTCTAGGCATGCCTGACCACCCTGGTAATCACTCATTTCTTATCTCTTCTTTTCTTTTCCACATATTATGCACCCTTTTTTTTTGTTTGTTTGGCCTGATGGCAATCCACAGCATCCAACCCCTGAGACCTGCACCGAGGGGAAGGCAGCTGGTCCTTGCAGCTTTCTTTCTTGGTCTATTCTAGGAAGGCTCTCTTTTAAGCAGAGGGACAGGTTTAAAAGGGCTCTGTACCCTTAAGTAGCACACCCACTCCTCCCCTATATAAATGGAAAGACCAGCAACAGCTGCCCCTTAGTTCAGGGTGGCTCTGAGCTTCCAGGAGCTCTCTCTCCTTTGCACGGTGGTAAGCCAGCTTCTGCATCTCACTTGCTTTGCAAATTGTATGCAAGCATTTACGTGCTGGACAGATGTTCCCTGGGTATCCCAGTCACATCAGCAGTTTTCTTTACCCCTGTCTGGGCGCTGGACAGGGTTATTTTCACTGAAAGGGAGCAGGTGCCTTCAGTGCAGAGGTGTTACAGCACAGGTATGATCCTACAGTAGTGGCGGCAGCGATGCTGAACCCATCAGGTGTGTCTTGGGAAGCCAGCATCCCTGTTGAAGGGTGAAGCCACAGCCCTGCAGTCATCTTCCCGTGCCTCAGTTTACCTTTCATTGCCAATGGGAGACTCTGTATTGGCAAAGCCCTGTTAAAATCTGTAGAGGTACTTGGCATAGCAGCACCTAGAAGCAAGATGTATTTATTGCCTGGGTTTTGGAGGGGCTCATCAGGCAGTTGAGAGGCCAAAGCATCTGCTTTGTCATTGCTGCTGTGAACTCCTCTGCAAATCCTTCAGCTTGTAGGAGGCCTCGAGCAAATTTTGCATGCCCTGCGAGAGGGTCCTGCCACCTCTGGCTTGGCAAGTTGGGAAGGGACAAGTGGCTTCTGGATTGGAGACATGAGAGTAATGCCTCAGTGCTCACGTTTCGGCAGATCCGTGCCCTTGCACAAGGGCTGAGCAATGCCATGTTGGAGGAAATGAGACCCAAAACCAAGGCCTTGATCAGTGAAAGAGCCCCGGTACTTTTTACAGGGGTGGACTTGTCAGCTCCAGCCTCCTCGCTAAATGACAGCTTGGGCAGCAATTGGATGCCACATCCAGACAGCACCTTTGAGGGAATTCTTGTCTTCATGTCAGGCAATTTTGCTATGAATCCCTGGTTTCCCCCAGAAAGCAGCAGAGGACCTGAGCCCAGCAGGCAGTTTGCAAAGGCTGCATTTTCAGCAGCATTTCAAAGCAGCAGCAGGTTGCAGGGGAGGTTGCACTTGCAATACCCAGTGCAAATGGACACCATGCACGCTGGGACAAGGGGCTTGTTTCCTCTAAAAAATAAAAAAAAATGCAACGGACAGACACAATCCATGCCTGCTGTCCTGCAGCCTCCCAGGCTGGAGGCACCCTTTTACCTCCCTGAAGTTAGAGGAATTGCCTTCCTGTGTGGGGTCCTGCAGACACAGGGCTGGCAGCTGCATGTGTGCATTGGCCGACTCCGAGCCAGCTAGCATTGCAGTGATGCAGCCACCATGGATCTTTGTTGGGGGGGTGTCTTTTATGGCACCCACAGCAGGGCTGGGATGAAGCTGAACAAGCTTTGGATGGAAAGCATCCATCATGCCAGACCTGAACTCGACATTTCACTGTTTCTTTGCAGTAGATCAGCTCTCCCACCCCCAGCATTTCAGATTGGTGGCAATTTTGCATGCCTTGAGTGCATCACCATCTTGAGCTCCCCCCTCTTGAGTGCTTTGCTCATGGCTTGTTGCAATATCCTTTGTGAGGCTGAGGGTGCGAGGCTGGGGGGCAACTGAGGCAGGGGGAATGCATTAGATTTTCCTCTCTTATCAATAAATAGGGAGCTGAAAAACAATAGGAACAGTTGTGCTGGCCTGTTATGCAACTGGGGTCATCTCCTGGCATTGTTTCTTAATTTAGAAAGCTATATTGGTGATTGAGGCCAGGTGGGTGGGGCTGGGCCCAGCCTTGTGACCTGTATGACCTGGGGGGTTGCAGGGCAGGGAGCCCAGGCTGCAGGCAGGCAGGCAGGCTGGGGCTTGCTGAGAAGCTGCTTGATTGAAGCAAGGCCCTTGGTCAGTGGCCCTGGGTTGCAATTCTTTGGCCTCTTTCCTTCTGGTAAGTGCTTGCCTGAGTCATTTCTGAGCTGGTTGCTTAGTCATAGCCCTTTCCTGGGGGCTGAATTCCTGGGAGGCAGTGAGTAATGCAGCTGGCAGGTGGGTGAGGAGCAAACCTGGCAGGAAGGGTGCTGGCACAGCTGATGCTTTGCTGCACGCGCTGCTGGGAGGTGAGCAGTGCTGTGCAAGGCCCAGCTTGGGGGCTCTCCAGGGTGATTTATCTTTGCATGTGCTGAACTTAACTACAAAGACTCAGGGCAGCTTATAGCAAGAGAGAATAGCACAAAATAATTGCTTACCTGCAGGATTTGCTGGATGCAGCACCTTGCCCCCCAAAGGGGGTGCTGGGCAGAGGCCAGGGATCTTTCAGAGCAAGGGCGCAGGCATTATAGCAAGGGGAGCTCAGGGTTTCACCCTCTCCCTGGGTTTATTTCTGTGCTGGGGGGTGCCTGGAGGAGGGTTGGGAGGCACTGGGAGCCCTTACTGGGAGCATGATGTAGACTGGGGAAAAAGAAGAGCTAGAGGTGGAGGGTTGTTAAGTTTGTACAGCACCGAGCACGGTGCCGCTCTGACTCCAGTGAGGTGTGTGAGATGTGTGTTAGCAAAGTAGGTTAACATATGGGCAAGTCACTTTGGACCATGCCCTGTGTCTGCCCCTTCGCCTGTTGCATAGGGGATGTGTGCCGGGTGGGGAAAAAAAAATGATTTAAAAAAAAAAGAAAAAAAATGTTGTTGTTTTTTTTTTTTTTTTATTTAAATCAGATTTTACTTGATTGAATTGTATTTTTTGATTTTATTTTTTTTTAAGATGCATTTAAAAAAACCAAACCTTTATATAAAGATGTTTTTTTTTAATTTAAGGTATGTTAAGGCTCAAAGATATCATCATGGAATAGGGATGATAACCTCTAATTATTCACAGAAGTTTAGGGCTGGAAGAGACCTCATGAGATCAGCGGGTCCAGCCCCCAATATACTATTTAAGACCGTATATTTACGTGAGCTTTTTAGAAACGTTTTCTAAGTAGGTCACAACGGGCTGCGGGCTATATTAGGGGGCCTGATTTTTAGGGGGTTTCCCCGATGAGGTTAGTAAAGATTAAAGAAAACCGCTTTACCATTAGGGACTTGGTGCTCGGTCTAGAAGAGCCCGTGAAGCATCTCTGTGATGCTGAGTTTCAGTTCTCAAACGCTGTATTTGTGTCTCCAGAGATCACAGGCAGACAAGGCTGTTTGGGTAGATGTGATATCTTTTATTAAACCAACTAAATAGTTGGAAAAGTTGTTCTTTGCAAGCTTTGGGGCACACACGCCCTTCTTCAGGCATAGGGAGAGTTGGAGATAACATCCTCATTAACAGCACTGTATGGAGATGAGAGAAGAGACCTGATGCCCACCCCCCAGCTCTTTTGTCTCTCTGCAAGTTTGCATGCACACAGTCAAGCCCTTCCCTCTCGCTGCAAGTGCAAAGTGTCAGGAAGTTAAACGAATAGAGGAGATCAAACAACAAGAATGCCCTTTTTTAGCAAAAAAAAACCCCCAGGGATTAAATCAAGGCTTCCTGACCAGTGATTTAAATCATGACTTAAATTAAATCCACCCTGGGTGCTGGCCTGTTACCTCCACCTAGATCGTGCCTTGGGGCTCTGCTTTTCACTTCCAAATCCCCCCTGGGCTCTCCCTTGTGATGATGAACAAGATCTCTGTTGCCCCCTTTTTTTTTTGTAGCTGGGTTTTGTTGTTGCAGCTGCGATCGCCTGGGATGTGCACGAGGAGACGGGGTTTCTGAGCTTATACAGGGGAGGAAACGCGGTCCAGAGCGCTGGGCTGGGAGCCAGGACACCAGCACCCTACTCCCAGCCACGCCGCTGACCGGCAGCAGGTGACACGAGAGACTTTGCCTCCTCGCTGTGTAGCTGGGTCTCTCTTTTTTTGTGCAAACTCAATAAAAAAAATCCTCTTTGTACAGATGTGA